TTCTTTCCTGTGTTTTTAATAACCTCTTGCTTTCTTCATGTGTGATGTCCTTGATGTCATAGCACAACTTGTCTGGTCTTTGGTCATTTGTGTTCGATGCATCAAATCTATTCTTGAGATGGTCTGTAAATTCAGGTGGGATATACTCATGGTCATACTTTGGCTCTCGTGGACTTGCTCTAATTTTCTTCAGCTTCAGCTTGAACTTGCATATGAGCAATTGATGATCTGTTCCACAGTCTGCCTCTGGCCTTGTTCTGACTGATGACATTGAGCTTCTCCATCAACTCTTTCCACAGTTGTAGTCTATTTGATGCCTGTGTATTCCATCTTGTGAGGTCCACATGTATAGTCAACATTTATGTCGTTGAAAAAAAGGTATTTGCAGTGAAGAAGTTGTTGGTCTTGCAAAATTCTATCATACGATCTCCAGGGTTGTTTCTATCACCAAGGCCATATTTTCCAGCTACAGAACCTTCTTTGCTTCCAACTTTTGCATTCCAATCACTGGTAATTATCAATACATCTTGATTGCATGTTTGATCAATTTCAGACTGCAGAAGTTGGTAAAAATCTTCAGTTTCTTCATCTTTGGCCTTAGTGGTTGGTGCATAAGTTTGAATAATAGTCGTATTAACTGGTCTTCCTTGTAGGCGTATGGACGTTAACCCATCATTGGCAGCGTTGTACTTGAGAATAGATCTTGAAATGTTCTTTTTGACGATGAATGTGACACCATTCCTTTTCAGTTTGGCATTCCCTGCATAGTAGACCATATGATTGTCAGATTCAAGATGGGCAATACCAGTCTATTTCAGCTCACTTATGCCTAGGACATCGATGTTTATGCATTCTATTTCATTTTTGACGATTTCCAATTTTCCTAGATTCATACTTCGTACATTCCATGTTCTGATTATTAATGGATGTTTGCAGCTGTTTATTCTCACTTGAGTCATGCCACATCAGCAAATGAAAGTCCTGAAAGCTTGACTTCATCTACATCATTAAGGTCGACTCTACTTTGAGGAGGCAGTCATATTTTGGGTGCCTTCCGACCTGAAGAACTCATCTTCCGGCACTATATTAGACAATGTTCTGCTGTTATTCATAAGGTTTTCACTGGCCAATTCAGTTTTCTTTTCAGAAGTAGACCACCAGGCCTTTCTTCATAGTCTGTCTTAGCCTGGAAGTGCCACTAAAACCTGTCCACCACTGGTGACCCTGCTGGTATTTGAAATACCAGTGGCATAGCTTCTAGCATCACAGCAACACACAAGCCACCACAGTAAGAGAAATTCACAGATAAGTTGTGGAACAGGGGAGCAGGCCTGGTTTATTGAGAAATTCTTATCTGATGAAGGATACATCAGAAACAGGGAAAGAAATATATATAAAATAAATGGTATTTTATATCACCTCACATCATATTTTGAAATAAATTCCTGATAGATTTAAGAATCAAATACAAAAAGAAAATCATTAAAAAATAGAAGGCAGTAGTCTGTTTCTGATTTCTGGATGAGTGAAAGCAATGGAAAGGATATTAAAATGAGACTTACCAGATTTGTCTTTAATGATTATTAAAGGCATAACATTTGGTTTATATATGTTCACGTTTCGTTCTGTCATGTATAAGGTTGCTATGAGTTGGAGTCAAACAGTAACAACAACATGTTATAAAATATCATAAAGAATATTACAATCCATATAACAAGGTGGGAAAAGTGTTGTCTTAGCCATCTAGTGCTGCTATAACAGAAATACCACAAGCGGACGGCTTTAACAAAGAGAAGTTTATTCTCTCGTAGTCTAGTAGGCTACCAGTCCAAATTCAGGGCGTCAGCTCCAGGGGAAGACTTTCTCTGTCGGCTCTGGAGGAAGGTCCTTGTGATGTATAAGTCTTCCCTTGGTCTGGGAGCATCCCAGCACAGGAACCTCAGGTCTAAAGGACGGGCTCTGCTCCTGGCACTGCATTCTTGATGGCATGAGGTCCCCATGTGTCTCTGCTTGCTTCTCTCTTTTATATCTCAAAAGAGACTGGCTTAAGACAGTATCTAATCTTGTAGATTTCATCAATATAACTGCCAATAATCCATCTTATTACATCATAGTGATAGGATTTACTACACATAGGGAAATCACATCAGATTACAAAATGGTAGACAATCGTACAATACTTGGAATCATGACCTAGCCAGGTTGACAGATATTTTGGGGGGACACAATTGAATCCATGACAAGTGCTTTTCACAAAATAAAATATTAATAAAGTTGACATTCCCTTAACAGTCATAACTTGAGCAGATTAACTGCTGCCCTCTCTTCATCCATAAATTGCACCAGCTGATGCTCACATGTCCCTGAACACCATCTAGCCCTCAAGCACTTCTCCCTCAGTTAACTTGTATCTGATTTTTTTTACTTAACTGACCAAGAAGACATTTACTGTTGTCTTCATATATAAAGAGTTTACTCAAAAATTGCTAAGAAAAGCACTAAGACTCAGAAAAATGACCAAATAACAAAAACAGAAGAGAAAATACATTGACTAAGAAATAAATGGAAAATAAAAGTTACTGTTCAGCAGTAATAAAAGAAACGCACAATAAAATTAGGTACCATTTTCACCTCTCAAATAAGAAAAAGATTTTTTGTTTTTTTTTTTCATTTGAAAACAATATTAACATCGGGCAGTATCTAGTGAGTGAGGTGCACCACTACAAAGCTGATGGGAGTGAAAATTTCTAGAAGGCAATTTAGCAATTGGTATGAAGAAGCTTAGAAATAGTCTCCTTCTGTGACTCTGTCTTCAGGAAGAAATTGTGGTTTGTATACAAAGATATTCTTTGTCAGGTTTTATAAAACACTTTTGAAAATGGAAGCAACCTACATTTCTGACAATTTAGGGAAATGGTTATTCAAATTATGATACATGCAAACATTAACTATTATGCAGCTGTTAAAATATTTTCAAATAACTTAGCATTAGAAATTGGCATTCATCATTAAAAAGAACATTTCAAGATCTATCCTGAAGTACAACCCTGTCAGTGACAGTAAATATATATATACCTACAAGGAAAACCAGTTAATAAAGTATTATTCAAATTTACACACCAACCGCAAATGCCAAAGATGGAGAAACTGATGATTTTTATAACCTGCTGCAGTCTGAAATTAATCAAATGTGCAATCAAGATCCGTTGATAATTACTGGTGATTGGAATGCAAAAGTTGGACACAAAGAGGAAGGATCAATAGTTGGAAAATATGGCCTTGATGATAGAAATGATACCAGAGATCACATGATAGAATTATATGAGACCAAGGACTTATTCATCAGAAATCCTTTTTTTCAACAACACAATTGATGACTATGCATGTGGACCTCACCAGATGGATTACACAGTAATCAAATCAACTATATCTGTAAAAAGAGACAGTAGAGAAGCTCAGTATCATCAGCCAAGACAAATCCATGAGCCAACTGTAAAACAGACCATTAATTACTTACTTGCAAGTTCAAGTTGAAGCTGAAGAAAATCAAAGCAAGTTCATGAGAGCCAAAGTAGAACCTTGAATACATCCCGCCTGAATTTAGAGACCATCTCAAGAATAGATTTGACACGCTGAGCACTAATGACCAAAAACCAAAAGACTTGTGAGAGGACATCATACATGAAGAAAGTGAAAGATCATTAAAGAGACAGAAAAAAAGGAAAAAACCAAAATGGACATCAGAAAATACTTGAAAACTTGCTCTTGAGTGCAAAGTAGCTAAAGCAAACAGAAGAAATGATGAAGTAAAAGAGATGAACAGATTTCAAAAGACAAGATAAAGTGTTGTGAAGAAATGTACAAAGACATAGAGTTAGAAAGCCAAAGTGGAAGAACATGCTCAGCATTTCTCAACCTGAAAGAACCTGAAGAGACTATTCAAGCCTTGAGTCATAATACTGAAGGATTCTATGGGAAAAATATTGAGTGAGACAGGAAGCATCAAACAAAGATGGAAGGAATACACAGAGTTACTGTACCAAAAAGAATTGGTCCATGTTCAACCATTTCAGTAGCTAACATATGTTCAAGAACCACTGGTACTTAAGGAAGAAGTTCAAGATTCACTGAAGGCATTGATGAGGCTCTAGGAATTGACGGAATATGAACTGAGATATTTCAACAAATGGATACAAAACTGGAAGCACTTACTCCTGTATGTCAAGAAATTTGGAAGACAGCTTCCTGGCCAACTGATTGGAAGAGATCCATATTCACGCCCATTCCAAAGAAAGTCAATCAAACAGATAGTGGAAATTATCAAAAAACATTACTAATGTCACATGATAGCAAAATTTTGCTACAGATAATTTAAAAAATGATTGCAACCATACATCAACAGGGAACTACCAGATGTTTAAGCCAGAAGTAGAAGAGAATGTGGAACAATTTTTACATGTACAGTTCAGTGATGTGGATTACACTTATCATATTATGCAACCATTATTACTATCCTTTTCAGAATTATTCCACCACCTCTCCTCCCTCCTGCCCCTGTTGTTGTTGTTAGGTGCTGTAGTGTCTATTTCGACTCATGGCAACCCCATGTGACAGAGTAGAGCTGCCCGATAGGATTTTCTTGACTGTAATCATCATAGAAGTAGATCACCAGGTCTTCCTCCTGAGGAGCCACTGGGTGGATTCGAACCGACAACGTTTCGGTTAGCAGCCAAGTGCTTAACTGCTTGCGCCACCTCTGCCCCTGGTAACCACTAATAAACTTTGGTCTTTATGCATCTGCCTATTCTAGATATTTCATATATGTGGAATCATACAATATTTGTCCTTTCGTGACTGACTTATTTCACTCAGCATAATGTTTTCAACGTTCGTCCATGTTGTAGCATGTATCAGGACTTCATTTCTCTCTGTGGCTGAATAATATTCCCTTGTTCCCAATGCAATCACTTCTCTGTTACAGCATCTGTTTGCCCCCTCAGGACTTACACCTTCAGTCTAGCCATGGACCTGAACTCCAGAAGGGATGGCGAAGCCAGCAGCAGACGCAATGGAGAGTTCCATCCTCCACAAACATCCAGGAGTCTTAGCAGCGTGCAGGCTTTGCAGGTAATAGAACTTCTTCTTTTTTTTTTTTTAAGTAAGCTAAGCGTAACCATGTTTTTTATCTGAACTACATGGCAGATACGGCTCTTAGATGTAGCTTTGGTTCTGTAGAAACACTCTGCTGTCCTAGGAAGCAGACGTAGATGAGCAAGGGGATGCTTTCCATCGGTCCTGAGGTGTTGGCCAAGCGCACTGTGGTCCGTCTGCCCAGGTGGAGGAACCACCTCTTCCATGGGCATTGGTGCTGGTTCCCAGGAACACATCAGAGCACGCCCCTAAGGGTGGTCTCTGTAAGCTGCGCCATTGCCCTGATGTTGTCTGTAAGAGCATGCAGACACAGGAACCCTCCAGGTCATGGTGAGGAAGGTGGACATGGGCAGGGTGGACACAGGACTGCTTAGAAACCGAACTCTCGCCCTGATTCTCTCAATAATTAGCTGTGTGACCCCAGAAGTCACCTGCCCTGGGGCCTTGGTTTTCCCCTCTTGGGTCAGGGCTGGGCAAGATGAGGAGCTCTGCTCTGTAACCTGGAGAGTCAGAGTCTGGACACAGTGGGGACACTCCAGGCCTGCCACCAGCTTCGGGCAAGCCCCAGAGTGACAGCCTCCAGAGGCAGGAGTCCCTCTGTGAAAGCAAACCATCTCCTGCCCGCTGCCGGGACCATCTCCTGCCAGAGCTTTGGCCTCTTCCTAATAAAGGGAATCCTCGTGGGTTAGGGCCTGGAGCTGGCCCTCGGCCAGTTACCACTTGTGTGGGAATGCTCCCCTGCTTCGTGTTGTTCTGAAACATTCCCTCCATGCCCCACTCTGTGCCACACACCTTACACACACTCTCTCCTCACAGCCTATCCCTAATGACACAAGGGTGTTACTCCCACCCCTCCCTGCTTTAGACTTGACAACTGAGGCATCCAGAGGCTAGGAGGCTTGGTGGGGATCTCCTGCATCAGTTGTTTCAAGGGTGACATGGATGGTTGGGGAGCCAGGGGCTGCAGCAGGGCAGGTCACGGTGCTAACAGATTGTTACTGTTTAGATGGCTGGACCGTGGTGACCCTGGCTCACCCCTGTATCCCCAAAGCCTAGCTCAGGCCTGGCCAGTAAACCTGGTCCAATGAATGACAGAAGAACCAAATGCAGGGCATAATCAGGATTCCTTATGGGATCTCCCTAACCCCAAAACTCAGCCTCCTTCCCCAAAAGCCCATGGGCCTCTGAGAGGTGGCCTCTAGGTGAGGTGAATTCAGTCCAAACATGAGCTGAGCACAAGAGCCTGGGGAGGCAACCCTGAGTCCTCTTAGCTCAGGGCTTTAGTCGGAGAGAATAGCCAGGACCTTGGAGCCACTAATGGCGGAGCCCGAGCACCTGCCAGCCACAGCAGACAAGAAATAGCTCTTCTACCCCAGCTTCCCAGGCTGAGAACAACCCAACAGAGACTAGACTCGCAGCCCCAGTGAGGAGGAAGGGAGGAGGCACAGGCTAGGGCTCTCCCCTGAGGTTGTGCCCCCTTTCCAGATTGAAGGGGGGTCTGAAATGAAAGGATCCACTCAAAACTTGGCCTGGGTCTACACTCGCTGGTGCTTTAAATGGGTGGAAACCTAACATTGGCCTCCCTGTGAGCTGAATCCTCCTTACCTGCTCTGACTCCACCCTTTCTATATGGTAAGAAAAGGAAACAGTGGCAACAAGTGGTATGGTGCACCCGTGGTCGGCTAAATGATGTCCCCCCAAAGATATCAGGTCCTAATCCCTAGAACCTGTGAATGTGACCTTATGAGGAAATAGGGTCTTTGCAGGTGTGATTAAGTTAAGGATCTTGGGATGGGGAGATTGTCCTGGATTATCTGGGTGGATCCTAAATGCGATCACAAGTGTCCTTGTAAGACGGAGGCAGAGGGAGACTCAACACACAGAAGAGGAGGAGGCAATGTGCCAACCAAGGCAGAGACTGAAGTGATGTGGCCACAATCCAAGAAATGCCTGGAGCCACCAGCATCTGGAAGACGCAAGGATTGGATTCTTACCTAGACCTTTCAGAGGGAGCCTGACCTGGTTGACACCTTGATTTTGAATTCCTGGTCTCCAGAACTGTGAGAGAATAAATGTCTTCTGTTTTGAGCCACCCAGTTTGTGTGCATTTGTTACAGCAGCTACAGGAAACTCATACTGTCTCTGTGGAGTCAATTCAGGCCTGCCTTGTTCTGTAAGGCCCCAAAGGTTAGTCCCTTCCACTCACCTAGCTTTTTCACCTTGTCCAATAATACTTCTGTGGCAAAGCTCTGCATTTCAAAGTTCAAATGCTCCTGGCTCTTCCAGGGAAGAAAATGTCCCAAACCCAAACCCTCGGCCCAATGCATTGATAATAACTGCCACCCACTAGGCAGACAAGTTTGGCATGCTCGTGCATCCTGAAACCTGCTTGCAGATCGGCCCTTGACAGGGGAATAGGGTAGCATCTTTTTGTATTCATTCTCAGAAAGAAAGCCAAGCATCTCAGTGTGGGCATAGCCCATCCCTGCTCAACCATACTTCAAAATTGTAAGACAAACCCTCTCCTCAGAGCTCTGCCCTAGAAGGTGGGGGTTTGCATCCAGAGCTAAACATCTGCCCGCCCTCAATGAGAGAAAAGTATAATATTTGCTTAGCCTTGTCTCAATGCCCCTGAGAAACCACACACAGGGAAACGTCTAATGTTCTAACGGGCTCACAAATACCACATTTTATGCACCTATCAAAATGTAGTCGGATCCCCAAAACCATAGTGGTTTACCTTTTCGTTGTCAATAAGGGAATTGATTAGTGGAAACAATTGATTAGTGGAAACAAAATTGTCTCTGTAAAGAACTTGTAGTAAAAATATATACAACAGAACATTTGCCAAGTCAACATTTTTTACATGGACCTTTCAGTGACATTGATTACATTCATCATAAATTGTGCACCGTTACCACTATCCCTTTCCAAATGATCCCACCACTATTAACAGAACCTTAGCACCCCTAAGCTAAGGCTTCCCCATCCCTCCTCCCTCCCACTCCAGGTAACCATTAATAAACTTTAGTCTCTATACATTTGCTTATTTCATATAAGTGAGATCATATAGTATTTGTCCTTTTGTGACTGACTTATTTCACCCAGCATAATGTTTTCAAGGTTCATCCATGGTGTAACATGTATCAGGACTTCATTTCTCTTTATGTCTCAGTAATATTTGATTGTATATATACACCACATTTTGTTTACCCATTCGTCTGTTGGCGGACATTTAACTTGTTTCCACCTTTTGGCTCTTGAGAACAGTGCTGCAGTGAACATCGGCACACCCTAAGGACTTTAATTACGTAAGAGCACAACCTAATTAGAGTTCTTCAGTATTGAGTGCTTACCATGTAGCAGCACTGGGTCAGGAACAGCATAGGCCTTGCACTCACAGGATGTACATTCTAAAGTGGAGATGATTAATAAGCAATTCTAATGATGCCTAAGAACGCTGTCTTAGGCTGCATTCTCTAGAGAAGCAAGACCAGTGAAGTATATAAATATAGAGAGAGATTTTGATCAAAGAAATGGCTCACATGGTTGTAGAGGCTGGAACATCCCAAGTTCATGGGCCAGGCTGGAGGCTTCTCCTGATTCACGCAGCTGCAGGGACTGGCAAACCCAAGATCAGCAAGTGAGACAGCAGGGCTCTTGCTCACAGGCTTCAGAGACTGATGGAATCCCCAGATTGGCAGGTAAGCTCTTAGCTAAAGTCCCAAGAACCGGAGGTTGAATGAACGGGAGCCAGCTGCAGGATCCAGGGTGAGCAAAAACCCACAAGCCTTGCCAGAAAGTCCACTTCTATTGGATGCAGGCCACACCCCCAAGGAAACGCCCCTTCAACTGATTGGCTACTCACAGCAGGTGCCATCATGGACGTGATCACATTATATTAAATCTCATCATGAAGGTGATCACATCATTATGCCACTGCCAAACCACTGAGAATCATGGCCCAGCCAAGTTGACACACAACTTAACGATCACTAATACTATGCTGGGTGGAGAGCATGGTTCTGTGGAGTTCATGCAGGGGTGCTACCAGAGGAAGTTCAAGCCTAATCATTGTGATAGTAAATTGCACATGCCTTTCTTTCCACTCTCCCAGGCCACAATCTTGAGAAGAAGTGTTTTGGTGGTGCGCCATGGAGAGAGAGTGGATCAGATCTTCGGGAAGTCGTGGCTACAACAGTGTTCCACTCCAGATGGTAGGTACAGTCCAGGCAGACTCTAAACAGAGACAAGATCAATCTAGTAAAGGAGATCACCTTTGTAATTTTCCTAGCATGGCACCAGATGCCCTGTGGCACCATTCTTTAGAAAGACTAGGTATAGATTATATATGTGGACTGTATATATGTTCCAAAGTCCCAGAGTGGTGTAAATGGTTAGCAACCAAGCACATTGGAGGTTGGAGGTTCAAATCCACCCAAAAGAGCTTTGGAATAAAGCCCTGGCCATCTACTTCCAAAAAATCTGCCATTGAAAACCCTACAGAGCACAGTTCTGCTCTGACACCCATGGGGTCACCATAAGTTGGAGTCATCTTGACAGCAGCTGGTAATACATGCTTCATCTTCCTCCATAGGTTTTATACATGTGCATTTGAGTGTATGTTGTAAGTATCTTACCTCAAATACTTTTTGGAAGATGGAAGAACGTCTATAAATAATAAGCAAGTAAGCTAATATGAATGCATGGATAGTCCTCCTTACCCTAGCAGTATACATACAGTATTTGGTTAGTGGATGTAGCACAGACTTTAGAGCAAGTCGCCCTGGCCTGTGGACTCTGAGCCCTACAGCTGAAGGCACATACCTTATCTCTCAATATCATCTCTGCATCTCTCTAAGCTAATCTTAGCTGCCTCAGTCATTTCCCTACAATTTTTGGCTATGCTACTTAATAGATGGGCATATTCTTGAACGTCTCTTGGTCACTCCAACTTTGCCCCTCTGGATGCCAAGGACTAAGGACAGTGCTTGTTGTAAATATAATTCCACAAGCCAATCTCTGTACCAATGTCTAATGTTTATGTTAGAGCACATCCCCTAATGAATAGTCTCTAGTGCCATCATTTCTAAGCCTTGTCTTACTATATAGATTAAGGTATTGAACATAGTAATAAAATCCATTCACAGTTGCTGGACTGGCTGAGCTCCTCTGAGATCTCTCCAGGAGCCCAACAGACCCCAAGCAGTCCCAGCAGCTGGGAAGTCAGTTCAGCACTGCATCAGGAGACAACTCCTGACCCTGCCTAAGATGGAAGACAAGAAGGGCTTCTATACTCTGGTTATTTCTTGGGGAATAGGCTTGTTGGGGAAAAATGTGTGTATTTCTCTCTGGTACCCCCAAGAAGAAAATAACCAGCAAACATAGGGGGCTACTTACCCTGTCTTTCCATAATGGCCAAATCCAGAAAGCGACTGCTTTTTCTTGTTGTCCGGGCTCTGAGGGTGCCACCACAAGTGCACCAAGCCCAAAGCTCCATGATCAGCCCTGTCACTTTCTGCATACAAGACCCAAGGACACAGCCCTGGGACAGCTGTAATGAGTGCTGCATAGGAGGCCAACTCCATGCTGCACTAGTGCCAGCCTTGCTGGGGGCTCCCTTCATTGGCTTAATTACTAATGTCTTTACCTACCAGGAAGTTATTAAAAAGTGGGCAAGTAGCATCACTTGCTAAATTTTAGACTGTGTGCTGTTAGGAAAACTTGGAATGTGGGCATCATTGAAGGGGTACAGGCAAGCATATGGCCTTGAGCAGTTCAGGCCCTGCAGGAGTGGATGGCCCAGCAGAAGGCCATTTTAGCTCCTGTTGGACTTAGTTTGTGTGTGTGCTTGTCTAAAGAGTGGTCACCCACCCAGAGATGCTGCCAGATGGCTCCTTGTTTATTTCCAGTGGTGCTCACAGTCTGTTCCATTATAGAGGATCAGGGGAGCCCTGAAATGTAAACAGGAACCCACTACTTCACCAAACCAAAGGGTATCCTACTTCCTGCTGGTCAACTATAGACTTTGGTGATATAGAGACTGAAATTGTAGTGCAGAGAAAACCTATTCAGAAAGAAACTTCCTCAAAATTTAGAAGTTAAAAAAAAAAAAGAAGAAGCTTCCCGGGAATTTGTGCTTGGGGAGAACACAGTATACAATAAACATCGCCTTAAAGGCAGTCCTAAAAATTGATGTAAACTTATTTTTACAAGTTCTTCACAGAACTTTCTAGTTTTGAAATTATGAATAAGATGTTTATACCCCTTTCCCATCTATTTCAGTATCACAAAATAACCAGATCAATGAGAAATAGAAAACTTTCATAAAGTTAGAGAAGTTTTTAAAATCCTGAACCTTGATATATATATAAATAAAGGCAACTATGGACAGAGAAAATTCCCAGCATGATGGAGGATGCCAAGATGTGGTGTCTTCAGTGGCAGGTCTCAGACAGATGACAGAATTCTCCAAGCAGTTAACACACTACCCAGAGGAACAAGAGCAATACCCCTTCCATTGATTAACAAGCTCAGTGTGAACAGACCAAGTGCAGAAGCTTCCTCAAACCGTACGTGACACCAGGGAGTTGTGGTGAAAGCAAGGATGAACAGTATAACATGCAGCTATACAATCTTTGCTGCAGGGAAGAGGAAAGCTGGAGAGAGAGGGACAAAAAGCTAAGGCAATTCACACAGATACATGTCACACAGGGCTTCACCATGAGTCAGGGGGGGCTTTCTTGCTGGCCAGACTGCTACTCTGCCTCTCCCCTACACTGCCTTCCTGCATATAGCTGTTCTAGAAGGAATTCTCTTCACTCAAAAATGAGTAATTACTAAAGGAACCAGCCTGAGACAAGAAAGGGAAAATGATCAGGGAAAATCTTTGGCAGATGACAAGCACACACCCGAACACCTCTAAGCAGATAACATCATGAGCATACCTATCTCCAAGGACTCAAAGAACTAATGATATGGTTAACTCTATAAACAAGATCAAATAGAGACACAAAGGCTCAAGAAAGAAATAATAATAGTGTATATGAGAATGAATTGACATTTAAACATATTGGAAGAAACTTTATTGTAATAAAGGAATTATGGAAACTATAGGTTGAAATGGCACATCATGTCAGGTGTGTGTGGTGGTGATGAAGAGAACAAATACAAAACAATCAACACCAAGAATATCTATTGGGATTTATAGAAAAAGAAAAAAAAATATTTGGTCATCTAGACAAAAGACCAAGTGACCTATAAGGAAAATATTTTAAAAGCACTGGAAATTCCTAGCTTAAAGGAAACCCTTGGTGGATCTTTTTACAAGGTAAAGAAGTATTTGATAAAGTGAATAATGACAGGTGAATTTGTCTGCATTTTGCATATTGCATTTTTAATAAGTTATAATGGGGTATTTGGCTGCATCCTTCCCTGGGGTGACTGGCCCCAGTGGGCACAAGAGAGCTTTTTCGGTGGTGGTACTGTTGGCCTCTCTTTTGATTCTAGTTTTTCTCTTCATTTCTGCAACATCTGGCCCAAGCACCCACACTCATATGGCCCCTCACTTCTTATAGTTGCTGGTGAGGTTGCCCCATATTCTGTACAGACTCTACTCCCATCATAACCTAACCTTGTCCCCACTTCCTCATATTTGTCTTAGCTCAGCACTCTGCTTCCCATTGTGACCACAGATAGATAGATATGTGACCACATAGTCTCACCATCCTTGCTTCTAAGGAGCATTCTGGTTGTATTTCTTCCAAGACAGATTTGTTCATTCTTTTGTCAGTCCATGGTATATTCAACATTCTTCACCAACACCACGTATACCTACCACATATACCTACATATACCAAACACCGCATAGACCTACCAGTTATTGACCACTTACTCTGTGGTCATTCTCTACAACCAGATGCTCCTTAGAAGCAAGGATGGTGAGACTTCATCTTGCTTACCTCGGACACGTCATCAGGAAAGACCAATTGCTAGAAAAGGACGTCATAGTTGGTTAAAATATAGGGGTCAATGAAGATGAAGAAAACCCTCAATGAGATGGATTGACACAATAGCCATAACAATGAACTCAAACATACCAACAATTATGAAGATGACACAGGACCAGGCAATGTTTCATTGACAACTAAGAACAACGATGACACTCTGTGCCAGACTGGGCTCTTGCTATTATCTCACTGATTCATCACAACAACTCTATTGGTTTCCCCTTTTTGCTGATAAGAGAGATTGAATTGTTTACTTCCAGTCACACAACTAGTAACTGGTGGTGCTGGGATTTGTGCCCCACCCCCGTCAGATCTTAGAGCTCAAGGTCAAAGCCAAAGTGAACCCTGATGGTGAATCCACCTGATTTTCAGTCTATTCTTCGAGCAATCAATTGAATAATGCGTAACGCAAAAGCATCTCTGGCCATATGCATTCCGTCCCCCTAAGCAATATGATACATTTAAAGGTATGAGAAGGAGTCAAATTTCACCTAATTAACTGATGCCAACTTGAGATTCTTATTGAGTTAAATCAGTAGTGGAAGACATTTGGCCTCTGATGGAAGCTCAGTTCTTTATCAGGTTAATTGTATGAGTAAATCTTCATGACGGCTTATGGGAAGACAAAGGGGATATCATGGTTCCTGGGACTTAAACCTAAGTTTTCTGTATTTGAATAAAAGTTGTATGCACATCAGACAGAATTTTCTCCTTAAATTGAATCCACATCAAAGAGCACCTTCAAAAAAAAAAAATAGCAGGTGACAATAATTTAAGTAGTAGCCATGCTTCTAATGTGGGTCTTGATCTTGGAAGTTTTGTGGGACAAATGTGTACTAACTTGATAAAAGTGAGCATCTAATGCTTATTTATACTTTAGGAAAATACTACAGACCAGACCTGAACTTCCCTTGCAGTCTGCCCAGACGGAGGAATGGTATCAAAGATTTTGAAAATGATCCACCATTATCATCATGTGGAATTTTCCAGTCCAGACTTGTAGGTATGTTTGAGGATTATTCTAGTAATTGTAATAATAACAAGGATTATAGCTAATGTGTATTGAACCCTTACTGCATGCCTTTTGAGGTCAGTATTAGTATTATCTCCACTCTGCTTATGAGGGAGCTCACAGAGAGGTTAAGTTACTCATCCAAGGCCGCACATTAGTAAGTGAAAGTGCAGAGATTTGAACCAGGAATGGAAAGTTGGGGAAGTCAGAAGGAATGAGGCTGTAAATGGAAGATAGGCAGGGGAAGAATGAGAGTGGGGAGGAAAAATCAACAATCACTGTATACACTAATGATGTTATTTTAAAAAACTAAAAAACCAAGTCCTTTCATTTACTTTATTTCAGAATCTGCCATTTTGGGTGTTTGTTTTATGCCTGGGGCTTTGGTTCCACATGATTGAATTTTTAGAACAGAGAGGTCATAGAGTTCATCTGGTCTGCATTTAATTGATTAAGAGATCTCGAATCTAGAGAGGCAAATGAACTTCCCAAGTCACATGGGAACTGACTGGAACCTGGCTCTCCTGGTTCCTCACCCTGTATTGTTCTGGTCAATGTTTAACAACCAGCTCTCTGGGCAGAGCGGGGAAGACCTGATCTGCAGCATTTGTTGATTTCAGTGGTGTAGAGATGTGCTCACACCATGGCTGATCTCAAGCTACGGGCATGAGGTCACTGAGCATGGAGTTAGGAAGAGAGGCACACAGTTGGTTTTCTCACAGGTTGGTGTGAGCCGGCTCCACACACCACTGCCCAGGCTCATTCTACCATAGCACCTGTGATATGTGCATGTGTTGTGTGTGTGTGCGTGTGCATGTGTGTGCATGCGTGTGGGTATGTGTGTGTGAATACCATATGTGCCTGTATGAGTTATGTGCTTCTAATGTGTGTTTCATGCCTAGATAAGGGTGTTTGCACATCTGTGTGTGTGTGTGTGTGTGTGTGTGTGTATTGGGAATGTTTGTGAATGCATGTGTGTGTGAGCAATTGTCAGCCTCCAACACACTTCACTGGCTTGTGATGCCAAGTAGTTTTTGTTCTGCAGAGATTCCTTTTTCCCCCGAAAGGGAGAGATCAGCTCCTTATCACTGCAAGAGGAAATGTGATTTACAGGACTGTCCTTCCATGAGCCCCAGGTAGTTTGTGAGTCTTCTATTGCAGCATAACAAATGACCACAAACTTAGACAACACCCATTGTTAGCTCACAGTTCTGTAGGTCAGAAGACCAGGCATGGCACGGCTGAGTCCTCTGCTCAGGATCTCAGAAGACTGGAATCATAGTGTCAGCCAGGCTGAGATCTCACCTGGAGGCTCTTAGAAGTAGTTCCAAACTTATTTATTTGTTGGCCACATTCAGTTCCTTGCACTTGTAGGACTGAGATCCTCATTTCCTTGCTGGCTGTCAGCCAGGGGTGCTCTCAGTTCCTAGAAGCCTCCTGCATTCCTTGCCATGTGGTCCCCTCCATTTTTGAAGCCAGCAATGGAGAACTTCTTACCCATCAGATTCCTCTCACTTCAAATATCTCTGAATTCTTGTCTGTGACCAGCCACAGAAAATCTTTGTTTTTAGCGGGCTCACCTGAATAGGTCAATTACACATAGGATAATCTCCCTTTCGCCATATAATGTAACATAGTCACAGGAATAATATCTTGTCATATTCACAGATTCCACCCACACTTAAAGGGGTTACACAGGGTGTGTACACCAGGGGCTGGAAATCCTGGTGCCATCTTAGGATCCTGCCTACCACGGGCAGCAAGCCATGAGCCATCTATGGGAGGCTAGAATTGTGAAGAGGGAATTTTCCACCTTCTGTTTTCCAGGGGAAGCACTACTGGACAGTGGCATCAGAATCACTTCCGTCTTTGTCTCCCCAGCCCTCCGCTGTGTGCAAACAGCCAAACACATCCTGGAAGGTCAGTGAGAACTCCAGTAAGCTTCCAATGTTGCATTGACCTCGTGGTTATTCTCCAGGGGCGGAGGGAAGTAAGCAGAGGTGAGAATTTGGTGATTGGCAGTGAATGGCCATACAGAAGTCAGAAGGCAGTGATGCACCAGCCCGCCAGAAACTGCTAGCAGACACTGATCCTACTAACGTTCCTTGAACGCCAGGATTGTAAAACCATCAGAGCTTGTGTAACTGAGTGCCAGAGGCCTGTGTGTCTTCACCATTAGTCTGCTCTGGCAAGTGTTTTTAGAAAAACACCTAGAAAGAAGTGTTCAGAAACTTAAAGAGCTGGGAACTGCTGTAGTCCTTTCTAGGTCCACAATGCATGACCTTTCCCCAGGGCAAGGAAATCGGCTACTGGGAGCTGTCAGGCATCATCAAAGCTGACGTATGATAGGAAGCCATCCACAGACCCTTCTGCAGCTTCCAGCTCACAGGAAGAAGAAAGTTCCTGCCCAGAGAAGGGCACCCTTTTATGGGAGAGAGGAGATATGGTCTAGTTCACAATGCAGGGATGGGCCTTCCCCTGAGGCATGGGTATGCCTCCTCAGGGACAGGAGAGACGGCAGCATGCATGGACACAGACACAGATAGTGGGCAAATATTTGCCTCGATTTCCTCAGAGACATAGGTAGGTACATCACCAGGTGAAACTGAGAAAGAAGGAGGGACTTCTGGAAGTTTGAGGAGTGTTGTAGGTATAAAATAGTTGTCAGGGAGACTGGGCCATGATATGGACTGGAAAATAGAGTCAGAGCCCACTTGAGGTTAGTGAACACAATTTTAAATTGAGACTCATCAGTTGGGCTTGGGGTTTTCCTCCAGTAAAAGACAGACAGGGAGTAGGTGGAGAGCTGAGCCTAACTAAGGTTGGTATTTTAGTCAGAGCTCTCTAGAGAAACAGAACCAATGATGTGATTGTGGGGCTGACAAGTCCAAAATCCATAGGTCAAATGACATCTAGATACTTCTGCAGATTTGTGTTCCAAGATCTGTAGGTCAGGCAATGGGAAGAGTACAGAGTAAAGTTCTGCCAGAGTATATATTTATATTCTGGAGGCAGAACACACCCTAAGGAAACTTCCTTTTCAACTGATTGATTACATTACATTAGGTTATGTTATGAAAGGTGACTGTATTATATTACATTACATTACATTACATTACATTGACTACACTACACTGTATTACATTACATTACACTACACTGCACTGCACTGCATTGCACTACACTACACTACATTACATTACATTGCATTGCATTACATTACAGAACAGCAACTAGACTAGTGTTTGACCAAACCACTGAGAACCATACCTAGCCAAGTTGACACATAAAATTAACCATCACAGTTAAGGTTTGAGGAGTACAAACAAGAGAGAGCATGAGAAGTCGATATAGTATGCAAGGGGGTAATTATGATTGACCATAGATTTTAAGCTGGGTAAGGTGGGAAGAAGAAGCCCTGGTGGCCAGTAGTTAAATGTTCGGCTGCTAACTGAAAGGTCGGGGGTTGGAACCCACCAGCTACTCCTTGGGAGAAAGATGTGAGAGACTGCTTCTGCAAAGATTATAGCCTTGGCAATCCTGTGGTGCAGTTCTACTCTGTCCTATAGGGTCGCTATGGGTCGGAAACAACTCAATGGCAATGGGTTTGGCTTTTGGTTTTTGGAAGGTGGGAATGAGGAGAGCAAATGCTAGGGAGAGTGAGCTCGATGAAATAAAATCCTGGAGGAATGGATTAATGGTTCAAGTTAGAGTACAAGAGGGAGGAAGCTAGAAAGAAAGGAGAGCTGGTTGGAGAGAAAGACACTTGTCACTGAGCTTGTAGGCAGGTTGCAGTTACTGGTAAGGACAAGATCCAAGGTAAAGGGAATGGTGGCCAAGGCAGGAGGAAGGTGCATCTTTGGAGAAGGTAATAAGGAGCCGAGCATCCCCCATGTTGGATGAGCCACCTTGCAGATAATGGTGTCACCAAGAGTTGTACCTGGAAAACCGTCAGAGTGAGGGGCAATGAGCTGTAGGCTAAAATCTTCATAGAGGAGTTGTTCACCTGACTGTGAATCCACCCAAAACATGTGCTACTCAGCTCTCATTTCTTCATCTTGCGGATAAGATTATCCAGAGATGCTCTGTACAAAATGCCTCCCCCGCTCTAGATACACAGTCAAAAATCCCTTTTGGAGGAGCTTTGGTTTGACTTGATTCATTGGACTTGGCCAAGCGCTTGGCACAACCCGTTTCTTCTCTAGGTTCACACAAACATTCTGTTTCATGATTAAGTTTACTAGCAACTAGTGTCCCTAATTCACCTTCCACACAATTTAAAAATTTGAGAAAGCATTTGTCTCTTTCTAGTCTTAGAGCCATTACCTTTTATACCCTGCCATTTAATGTACTTATTTTGTTCTAAACCATGTAAGATGCTGCTGCTTTTCCACCAGTCTTCAAAGCCAGTTTGATTTCCATCTTTGTCTGGCCACCCACTAATGAGCTGGTGTCTTAGTTATCTAGTGCTACTATAACAGAAATACCACAATTGGAAGGCTTTAACAAACAGAAATTTATTCTCTCACAGTTTAGGAGGCTAGAAGTCCAAATTCAGGGCACCAGCTCTAGGGGAAGGCTTTCTCTCTGTGTCAGCTCTGGAGGAAGGTCCTTGTCTCCTTTCAACACTGTGGGCCTGGCTTCCTTGGAGATCTCCATGTGTCTTGGCATCAGTCTTCCCCTGGGCCCAGGAGGTTCTCAGCACAGGGACTCTGGGTCCAAAGGACATCCTCTGCTCCCAGCTTTCTTGGTGGTAGTGAGGTTCCTCTCCTCTCTGCTCACTTCTTGCTTCTTTTATCTCTTGAAAGATAAAAGGTGTGACTCAAGCAAGGGTGTGACTTGAGTAAGGGTGTGACTTAAGTAAGGGTGTGTCACTCATGTCACACCCTCTTGTAAGGTGCTAAGTCAAGATACACCTTACACTGATCCTGCCTCATTAACATTTAGAGGTTAGGATTTACGACATATCGGAAAATGGAGGACAACCACACAATACTGGGAACCGTGGCCTAGCCAACTTGACATATATTTTTGGAGGACACAATTCAATCCATGACAGCTGGTGTGAAACATTACAGGTCACCCTGCCTCCAACCACTTCAGTGTTACGGGTGATGATTTCCTCCCACCTACAGCTTTTGTTTTCCCAAATTGTAAGTTTCTTTTCTAGTAAAGATCTTAATCTTCCCTTCCCTACCCAACCTCTCACCATGGTAACAACATATGGATAAAGGAAAAGAGAATACTCTTTTGGCCAATCTTCATAATAAAAGAATATGACTGAGAACTTCAAAAACACTTTTTGTAACTTTATCATGATTCCTCATTATTAATATATTTATTTGTTCCAATTTTTTGAATATTTTCTCTGGCTTCTATTATTTGTATCTCTTGCATATAAAATGAAAAATTCTCATTTCGTGACACATGAGAATGTCAAGGTCTTTAACATGATCTTTCATTGACTGTTACTTTATATGCAGAATATTTGCAGAATATTATTAACACACTGATATCTTTTGTTGTTAGGTGCTGTTGAGTTGATTCCAACTCATAGTGACCCCATGTGACAGAGTAGAACTTCCCCCATAGGATTTTCTAGGCTGTAATCTTTATGGGAGCAGATCACCAGGTCTTTCTCCCATGGAGCCACTGGGTGGGTTTGAACTGCTGACCTTTTGGTTAGCAACTGAGGACTTAACCATTGCATCACCAGGGCTTCTACAAATCCTGTGTTGATATACTAAAACAAAGATATTCGGCCTTCTTTATAAGCTCTCAAACATGGTCAACCTGTGTTCCAGCCTGGTGTCTAAATTGCTGACATCCTAATTTTTATTTGAATACTAGGCCAATGAATGTCCAGGTGGACCATTTCCCAAGGTATGACCCACAAAATAGAGGCCTACAAGATGTGTTCAAAAGACAGATCTGTGACCAAACCCATTTGGGAAACCTTCCAAACTATTTCTGCCTATAATCTATTCACAATGGACACGAACACTTCACAGGCTTAATGGAGAACTCAGGAACCAGGTTAACTCAGTTTTCTCACTTTTGCTAAACATGATTGACAGAGGAACTAATTCCAAGGATATGGAATACATTTTTGGAACTAATTTTATTTTTAGCATTTCTGTTTAATGAAATTTTCTCCATTTCAAGTAAAAACATTAAGGTCTTTTTTTTTTTTTAAACCCAAAAAAAGAGGTAGCTATAATTTATAAGTCTTCTTTTAGTCAAGGTATAAACGCTTGGAATCTCTGGGTGATACAAACAGTGAATGTGTTTGCCTGCTAACCAAAAAGTTGTAGGTTCAAGGCCACCCAGAAATGCCTTGAAAGAAAGGCCTGGCAATCTACTTCCCAAAAATCAGCCATTGAAAATCCTATGGAGCACAGTTCTACTCTGATACACATGGGGTTGTCATGAGTCAGAGTTGACTCAAGAGAAACTGGTATAAAATGCTTGGGAGGATGAGTTGCAAGGAGTTGTAATGGTCCAGAAGGTTTCCTTCCAGCCTTCACCCTTTGCCCTGTCCACTGTAAGTTTTCATCAGAGTGGTGCTTTGGTGTGATATTCTCCATGACTTAGCCACAACTTTTCCATTGACTATTAGATTTACTAAGTCCTTACTAGTTCACTCTTGTCCTTGACCAGAGTTTTAGTCATGAGGTCCACAGTGTTGGTTTTAGCTGTAGAGTTGTATTGGGTGGTCAAGATGAGCACCCAGAGAGGACCTACTGGTGTTGGCTCCTTTCCAGCTCCTGGGAGAGTCCAGTTTATCAAGATCCACCAAGCTCCAAGACTCAAAGAACCTCAAACAGGTTAAACCCAAAGAGATCTACACCAAGACATATCATAGTTAAGCTCTCAAAAAATTAAAGGTAAAGAGAGAATCCTGAAAGCAGTGAGAGAGA